AGAACTGCAACCACATAAGCTAGCGCAATAATTTTTTTTGCATATGAAACTGGAGGAGTTGTTCTTACATTTTATGCCATCAGCTTGTCCTAAGTCACGTTTCCTTCCACAAATAGCTTTGCAGCAACGAAAACAAAATTTTCCAGAAACATGCTTTGCCGATCCGATCAACTGTTCATTACACTTCCTAGTTGGAATAGACGTCAGCGCGAACTATTGCATATCCGCCATTACCTATCCGAAACCGGAAGTGATGTCATTTTCTTCATTATCATCATCTTCAGGGCCTTTTTTTTTTGTTGCAAATTTGCATTGTAATATTTATTTTCGGTTTTCCTGCAGTATTTAAAAATTGGTGTATCTCAAAAATAAAACTATGAAGTGGTTTTGTATTTTTTTGTATTTACAGTTTTGAGGGATAAACCTCTTAAAAAATTCTCGAAATATATGTAAAAAAAAGACTACAATGATTTTTAATTTTTTTTGTAGTTTATTGCACTTTTTGCAATTTATGTAGTTACTATGGACTTAATGCATACATATGATTTGGGATATAGCTGCAACACACGGTTGTATCAATATATAGGAACTTGAAATGCTCCCAAAAATGGCACTACAGCATGTAAAAATATAAAGATAAGCTCTGGCGGACGGCTCTATTAAAGGGTTAATGAAACCTCTCACCATTTCTTCCGCATCCTCGTCGGCAGATTCTGTGATACCAGAAAACACAAAGCTATCTCTCATGCTACAGGCTTCCTGTCTCACTTCACTTACCTGTCTCACTTACAGTACCTCTCCCTTCTCACTTACATCTCCCCTGCTCACTTACCTCTACTAGGTTAATACCATTGTATTAACCTAGTAGTTTTTAACGATCAACCTTAATCAATGTAGCATTTAAACATCATACAAATGTTGTGTGAAAATCTGTGACGTGTTTTTAAGTGTTTTGAGTTTTAGTTTATTAAGATATCCATTATTGCAGCAGTGCAGCTGCTATTAGTCACAGATCTTTATACTTTGACAGTGCTCTATAACAGCAAAAAACACATAAATACCATAACAAGAACAGATGAAGCCACGCAGATGCAACAACAAAACGAATCTTTACAGCACAAATCGGGCTCCATAGGGTTAAACATTAATAATATAACAATTATCAAACATAACATTTAAATTAAACACCATTACTTTTAAGTTTAAACAGGAATTACATTTATATTAACAACCTTCCTACCTGTGCACTCTAAAAAGTAATTCATCAGGCCTTTTACCACCACTTGATGCATGGTTGCAAGATAAAAATTCAAAGTTACTGATTAAGATAGATCTTCTAAGTTGCAAACTTTATTTTTGGGGTTGTGATGAATTAATAATTTTGGTAATTACATCAAATTAATTTTGTATGTAATATGAAATTAAATCCCAATATTAATGTGTCCAAAACAAAATTCAAGTTGCAATTACTCAAAGAAATTGAATAGATAACT